TATGTCCAAATGCTTGGCGTGAACCGTCGGCGCTGGTCCCGAAATGCGCGACTCAAGCCCCTGAGCACTTTGGGCCGGCACGAGCTCTGAAAACACGGTGTTCTGTATCGTCCGAATATCACCATTGATGACATAACGATGAGGGCCTATAATACGTCGTATTTAATGAGGAATAATTACGACGCTCTATAATGTAGGTAGCTAACTTGACAAGACTCTATAATATATGAAATTATACCGTGCAAATCACTGGGCGTCTACATTGAATACGACTCTTTGGGTGACCATCTATAGTTGGCTATAATACATAGCATTCCTACGGTGCGTGTCTATAATTCTCTGTCAGACCGAGCGTTATAGTATAGTGCCCGAGTCCACCCTCATAATGTTCTCTTTCTCACGATGGGCCTCTATCGTAGCCCATAGTGACGATCATAAGTACGCTCACATCATAGTACTTATAATTTTTCCCCACTTTCTGTGATGTGGGAGAAGCTGGCGGTACCGATTGTGTCGAGGCTGGTGTACGGAGGGTAGGAATGAATGGGGTAAGGTTAAGGTGGAAAGTAGAGCTTACGAGACGTGACTCATCCTAGAACAATGATGGTCTGTTTTAGCTTCACGTAACAACAGGAAATGCTGCGCATATACCCACCGGTTCTGCACTTCGATGATTGCACTGTCACCTTCAGAGCTAGTATTGATCATATGTTATTCCATGCACTGTTGACCTACAGCCGCCAATATTCAGTTGAGTCTTTGTCTAACAAGCAATAAAGCAACACCGCTACCTTGTATCCCGAGTCAATTAACACAGAAGTCAGCTTGTGAATCACAAGCCTGCTGAACGCAGACATCAACGCCTTTCTCTGCCTTGCCTCTGCCTACCAAATGCCGCCACATGTCAGTAGTCCTTGGCTGGAAATAGTGCCAGTCTAACCTTTTATGCGCGTCTCCCTGTACCCACAGCATGCTCCTCCCAACCTATCACGCCATCATGATCTCAGTTCTGGACAACATACTCATCCACTCAGACCGCACTCAGAACGCCCACTCACCACATTCTCATAAACAAGCCAACCCTCGTCCTCACATACATCGTCGTATCTCGTGCATAGAAATGCGCGATCGCACAGCATGACCCTGCTCGTGCTGTGCGTCGACGAGATCGTGTATACGGCACTGTTGCGCCGCTTCTACGCCTCATACAGCACGCCCACGTCGATGGCGCACATAGGCTCGTCGCCGACGCTGAACAGCCAGCCCGTGCGCGGGGGTGTGCACAGCTTTGTTGAGCTGAACCGGCCCGTGCGACACGCAGTAGGAGGCAGGCGGAGAGGAGGGCGAGGAGGGCGTCTGTGTGCTTTGTTTGGCGGAGCGATGTGGGAGTGTGAGGATGATTTAGGAGTGGAAGTTGAGGGCACTGAGGTAGGATGTGAGTGCGGAGGCGAGTGTGTAAGCCATGGTGGACACGGTGAATAAAGGCGAGGGTAGTACCAAGTACGGTACTTATGACGTCCAGAGAGCGTTCGAGGTCAGTTCAAGTTAGCTTTCAGGTTTTCAGACCCAAGCGACAATTGTTAAGGTTTACCAGGGGAAGCAAGGAACGTAGTCAAGATGCGGTTGTCCCGTGAGGGTCTGAGCAAAATGGCCCAACATTGCCCCGGGATTCGACAGGTACTCGCTGAACTTGGACGCGATCGAATCGAGCTCGGGGGGTGTTGTTTGGACTACCGTTGATTCGTGTCGACAAGGGGCGTACGGAAGGGGTCGGCGAAAACGTTGATTATCTGTACATTGGTGGATGGATGGGTGGACGTTATGCCGTGAGCTGAGAAGAAGAGGGAACGATCGTGGTGTACCTTGATATTCCAGCGCGGGTCGAGCTGTTGGGCGAGCGAGTCGCTCAAGCCGTTGAGGGTTAGCTCGCAGACATGACAATAACATCCGCATTCGTCTGCGTACATACATGCCATCTTTTCTAGTATCCCGCCATCGATCTCCATCAGCCTCCCTTCGCTCCTCTGTATAAGCAAGAACACTCACGAAGCGATAGCCCTGCACCAGGCCTCCCATTCACGTCCAACCTATTCCACGTCTACAACAGCCCCCGTAGTATCCCTTCGAATTCGCCTCTCGAAAGAACCGCACTGCCTCCCCGCCCACATACTTGCACCGCCACCCAGAAATTTGTGTCGAACGCTTTCTTCGCGCCCTACATGTACTGATCATTGTCAATGAGATTCTGGGCCTCGCCAATGTTCGTGTCCGCGCTATTGAACACCAAGTCCAGCCATCCGGATCTCCCTTTGATATACGCAAACACGGCGAAGCCCTGTGCACGCTGCGAGATGTCAAGCTGGAGGACGGAGAGATGCGAGGAGGGGTACGAGGAAGGGTACGATGATGAGAAGTGAGAGATGGCAGCGGGGTTTCGGAGCGTTTCAATCACGGTATCGCCTTTGGCGAAGAGGCACTCGGTCATAGCGAGGCCGAAGCTTAAGGAGGAGATGGTGACTGAAGAATTAATGGTTAGATGCGGGGCCATCATCGTGGATCGAGTGAAGTCATGTGAGGGCCCACTCACTGGGCAAGATCTCCGAGCCTGCCATTGTTGAGCTGGATGTATGTTGTTGAGCGCCGAAGGAAGCAGTAGGGGAACAGGGCAATATGATATCCGCCCCTTCTTAGACACATCTGCATGGAACATGTTGCGTGACTGACCTAGTAAATAGTTGCACACGGAACTGGTCCCGTCAACAGGCCCAGGTTCGCAAAACAACGTTAGCAGTGGCAATGTTCCTCGATGAGTTCTGCGGCATATAGCTTGTGTCATCCTAGTACTGGATTGTTATATTTTCGAGCGCTCAAGTGGTGCTGGACAGCAATATTCGCAACATGTGGGCTCAGGGGCTTTCTGTCCTGTTTTAGAGAGGATGAAGGGGAATCCAGGACTTTTGGTAACGGCGTAACGGCGCGGCCAATTGGTGACGGTGTGGTAACGGCGGGAGGGACGCGCGGCGGCTGGGCACTGCCACCAAAATCAACTCACGTGGTATGACGCGTCGCGATTCCAGCTAGTTAGAATGCCAATTTCATGTCTGTGCGAGCGCTATCGAGCGGGGAGTGAAATAGTGCATATGAACGAGGCTACTGCTATCTACGACAGGACGTGTGACACCGAGTCCGTGATGTGGGTGAGGTCGGGGAGAAGGTCGAGGTGGTCCTCTGGTGTGGCTGTATCAGGCACTGAGTCTGTGATCAACCCGAAGATGCCGAACTTGCTAAACCGAGGCTACCCCGGACCTCCCATCCGTCTGGGTGTGTGAGTCGAGCCGGACGAAGTCCAACCCAAACCCAGAGGGCAGGCGAAGCCGCGGAAGCGACGGCTCGCGAACCCACCCAAACCCACGGAAGGCCAGCCTGACCACGATCAATTCCCGAAGCGTCGAGATGCAGATGGTTGCCGAGTAGAGATAGAGGGAGTGTGCCCTGACGCGGGCGCGAGTAATTCGACATGGAGGGGGGCCAGAACGTCGAGGGAGCGCCAGTACCGGAGGAACGCGTCCGAAGACCAGCGGCCCATGGTTTTAACGACGTCGGGAGGAACCCCAGCCAGGAGAAGTTCTGTGGTGCCCCCAATGCGGAACGCGTGACCAGACGAGGACGAGAGGCCTGCCGCAGACCAGACAGAGTTACAGCGGGCGAGGAACTTACGTTTGGTAAGACACTCCCAGCGCGTGGTGGAGCCGTGGCGGAAAGAGAATAAAGGTACGTCGAGGGGAGGGCAGTTTGCGGTGAGGTGAAATTCAAGGGCCCTAACCGGATCCGAAAGGTCGGCCTGCCGACAGATGAAAATAGACTCGCCCTTGGTTTTGGCGACTTTAGTGAAAGGAAGGAATAGCTTTCGCGATTGGTTAGCGTTCAAGGGTGCGGAGAGGTGGGCATAGAGAGCTGTGTGACCCGAAAATGAGTCTTTCCATTGAGACAGAATTTCGCCGAGGCGACACTGCCCGTAAAACGCGACACAGGCGGCGGCGAGAACAACGGCATCGAAGGAAGACGATGCATCAAGGCTGGTGGCGAGGAGAAGAAGCATATCACGAGTCACAGGAGGGCGAAGCGCGCGACGAGAGGCAGAGGGAGTAGAATTTTCGACACCATGGAGGACTAGGTTGAGACGCGGGCCCCCAAGCCAGGCGAGGTTGTTGTAAGTATGCCATGCTTTGAGAGCGGACAAGTAGCCCCGAACTGTGGAGCCGGCGATGAGACCGATGCGGGATGCCGCAAACGCGCAAAGAAGGTATTCCGATGTAGGAATGCGGGCGTGGAGTGGAATCAGCTCCAAATCACAGAAGTCAAGAAAGGCCTCGACCCCGGCGGCGTACTTGGCGCGGGTGGAGCTAGCCCAGGCCGTGTCTAGAGCCCGCTGAACGCGCGAGAGCGCGAGGTTAGATATGGATAAGGACATGGGAAAGAGACGTAGACAGGTAGATAAGGAGCCTCACGCGAGTGTATAAGTAGCAGGGAAATGCATTCCAATCATCAATCAGGTAACTAGGGTTACAAAGGGTTTCAAGTACAATGGAATGGCAGGGGAGAATCCAAACCGCCGCCCCAGCTGAGAAAAACAGCCTCGAGAAGGGGCGTCCGCTAAGTTAGCAGCCGAAGGCACCCACTCAACAGAAACCCAAATGTTGAACTCGCGGAAGTTGGAGACGATGTGGCGCAGAACCGAATTTTGAGACGAGTTGCGAGAGCGGCCGGTGCGGAGGGCACCGACGACGCCTTGGTTGTCTGAGCGAAAGATAACATGGCAATCCCGAAAACCAGCCGTGATAAGAGCGCGAAGGCCGAGATCGATAGCGACCATCTCCGCCCAACCGATGTCCCGGTCAGCGGAGCGCCAGTTGCCAGCTAGAGACCAAGCCAACCACCGGTCGTCGCAGACGAAGCCGACACCGAAAGACGTGGAGGCGTCTACATAGATACTGTGGGATAGAGGTGGAGGCGGTGTGCGGATATCAGACCCACAGAACGAGAGGGAGAGTTGTCCGCGCCACCAGAGGATGTCGGCGAGAACGGACGGGGGGATAGAATGGTGAACAAAGATATCGTCATGAAAGCCGGCGCGGAGGCGGTAGAAAGAAGGCAGGCGGGAGCGGCCATCGGGGAGTGCGAGAGAGCAATGTTGAAGGCATCCGACAACCTTCTCGCATTCACGAAGTGAAACCGCCGAGCCAGGAGTCCAAGTGCTGATGCGAAGCAGGTACTTCGTCTTTTTTGCCTCCGGAATGCAGACGGTTTTGCGGGGGAGGTCCCAATCAAAACCGAGGTAACTGAAGAGAAAGGAGAAAGGAAGATGTTTGGCAGGCGCCCAAGGCCACCCCAATTCGCGAGCAACCGAAAAGATAAGGGATTCGTCATAGGAATAGGACCACGGCCCGGAGAAGGAGAAAATGATGGGGTACCGCCAAAACGTGAAGTCGTCGGACCATTTGAGGATATTGTTAACGCCGCGAGCACGGTAGATGCAGACAATGCCGTCAGCAGGGCGTCCGAACAGCCCCATGGAGCTAGTGCAGCCAAAGCAGCCGGTATGGTCGACATAGAAGAGAGGCACGCCGTCGACGTCCACGCGGACGCAGACGTACGGCTGATCTTCGGGCGCAATGGGTGAGCGGCGATGCGCCGCCTCGACGTCGTTGACAGACACCTGTGTTCCAGGGGGAGCATCAGCGACGAGGAGATAACAGTCAGCAAAAGAGCCCCAATCACATTTAAAGGAGGAACTATCGATGGCAGAATTAACAGAAGGGAAAACCGGGTTGTGACGAGGAAAAGAATGATCTTGCACGAGACGAAACTTGGAAGAGCCAGGCTTGGGAATAACTCCAAGCGGGCCGGTGCGAAAAGGACCCACGAGAGCCTCCAGCTGGTCACGCGTGAACGGACCAGAGTAGCGGCCCTCGCGAACCTCGGAATTAATGTAGTTGAGAATGAAGCCGGGCTGCTCGAGAGCAGAGCGATGATTTGGAGGAGCAAAAGTTTGAATGAGAGGGAACGAGACGCCGAGACGCCAGCCGTCGCGGAGACCAAAAGGAACATCAGCAAATTCGTGGAGGACGCCAGCGTCGTCCAGCGCGATCGCCCATTCCTGCCAGAGGAGGGGCGTCACCACCTTGAGGAGACCCGACTCAAGCGCAGGCTTGAGCCGAGTGAGACGCGCCGCAGCGAGAACACTTGTGGAGGAACTTGCAGGATTGACGAGTGCACCCCACGGCACCATTGAAGGCGAAGCAAACTGACTCGTTGGAAGAAGTCGTCCACTTGCCGTCGCGGAAGGTGAGGAACGCAGTGGAGGTGGTGCCACAGGCCCGGTTGCGGCAGCCGACGGTGCTGCAGAAGATGCAGCGTTGGTCGGGAGATGCAGCTGCACGGGTGGCACGCTGAGTGGAGGTGCGAGTGGTCGAGGAGGATGCGCGAAATGAGGAGGAGGCAGAGGACGAGGAGGCAGAGGCAGTCACCGCCCGAGAGGGCGGAACCTGCTGACGCGGTCCATCTGCCACGCCGTGACCAAGCGCGATCAGACGCGCTCCTGCCAGATGGATGGGTTGAAAGACTCGGATCCCGACGCAAAGTTGCGCCGGACCTCGATATCGTACTGGAGGAACACGGGCCAGCGACCCTCGGTATAGAGGTCGGGGTGCTCGCGGATCTTGCGACCGTGTTCAGCCCAGATGGCCGCCCAACGAGACGCATCGCCTGGATCCTGCTCCGGGAAGTGGGCGCGGATGATGCTGACAAGACGCGGGAAGGCGTGCATCCAGTCACCGACGGAGAGCGCCGACTCGCCGTCGAGGTCCCAAGAGGCAGGGAGGAGGGTCAGAACCCCGGAATCCGCGATAGTAGCTGTGCGGTCGGTGGACTGGCCGTTTTTGAGCCCACGGAGAGCGGCATTGGTAAGGGTAGTGAGGGGGATGTGCGTGACCCATCCCGCCTTGACCGCCTGAACGACCCGGGGAGGATCCGGGAGCGTGAGGCCGCTCAGCTGGGAGTCAGTCGTTGGCAGACGACGCGCACCAGCCGCAGGAGGCGCGGGGGCTGGAACAGGAGTGGGAACGGGAGCCACGGGGGCAGGAGCACCCGGCATGGCGGTGCGGTACACACCGGGAAGCGGCAGACCTGGGAGGGAAGGGATCAGCACCAGGCGGGAGCGAGCGTGCAGGGGGGGAAATGGAAACGAGGAGGGCCTGGAGGCCCGCCGAAGGAAGGAGAGGAAAGAGGTACTCACGGGCAGCGGGCGGGGGAAAGGGAGCCTGAGCAAAACCCGGGAGGTTGTCCCTACCCGCGACGTGATCGGCCAAGCGCTGGCGACCGTCGTCTGAGAGAGACTCCCAGAACGCGATCAGACCAGGCGAGAGGCCAGCCACGAGCGCGGGAGCCACTGGAGCCCGGGGCACGGAGGCCAGGGCCGGAAGGACCGCTGGCGCGAGTGCAGGGGAGCCCTCCCGCAGAATGCGAGTACCCGAGATGGAGGAGGCCGGAGCCGCAGAGGACTCCGGAGCGTGTTCAAACCGGACGCGGGGACGAGGCAGCGCGAAGGGGGCAGAGACGGAGGGCGGCGCGAAGGACAGGGCGTCCTCGGCCAAGTGAGAAGCCTCGGGCGCTGGAGCCCGATCGGGAGCCCGATCCTTGCCTTTGGAACGCTTCGGAGGAGGAGCCACCACCGAATCGGACTCGGATGGCATGCGTCTGCGGATGGAATTCGCCCCCAAGTGATCCAACCCCCCAAAACTTGGGGGAGGGGTCGGAGCACGGGCAGGAAAATCGTCGACCTCGTCCTCAGGCTCAATGAGGTCAGGAAGGTCCTCAGAGAGCAGGGTAGCCGGAAGAGCGTTGTCCACCGCCGCCATGATGGTGTCGTCATCGAGAAAATCAGCGGAGTCCAAGGCGGGGCTGGACTCCCCAGGCAAGACAAGCTCGTCGGCGGGCGAGGCAGAGGGAGCCGCCGCCGGCGAGGACCGACGGGTGGAACGAGGGCCCACCGAGCCCGACGCGCGAGACGGCGCAGCGGAGGAGAGAGTACGAGGAGGCATTGGTAGGAAAAAGCAGAGAGAATTCGAGCGAGCGAGCGAGCGGTGAGCTTGCAGAGAGCGAGAGATGGTGGCGGTTGAAGTCTAAGAGCAATCGCCACCTTGCTCTCTGCGCGCTCTGGCCAGAAAAGGCGCGCCGCTCGTCACGTGTGTTGACTTTCTCGGCTCACTCATGTACTTATCCGTTACCCCAGGCATTTCACCTGGGCGAAATAAAAATGGCGTTCTCTGCCCGTTCTAATCTTCGTCTCGTTCCCTCCTTTTCTCTCTTTTCCCCTCCTCATCCGTCTCTACTACGCCCCCACTAGACTCTCTATCTTTCATTCGACAACAACGCCTAGCGACACCATGAATTGGAGGATAGCATGAAGGACATGCACCTCATTCTGTATGTGACGGTATGTTTTTTCTCATTTATTCTAGCGGTCATATTTTCCTAATTCTATTTCTATGCTATCTTAGAACATTCTGTTTTGTCGTGCAAGGCTTCGGGGAGGTGCCGAGGTGATACCTTCGCTCTTTCTGAGTGACAAGCTTGCCTTCGTCGTTGAGAGCGAGTACAGGCCGGACGACGTAGTTGGGATGGTACTCCCAACCGCACTCTGCGAGGGATAGGTGGTCAGTGATTCGACAGGACAGGGGGAAAGGAAACGTACTTTCACAAGTGAAAGCAACCGACTTCGCAAACTGAACTCCGTGCTCGAAGGTGAAGGCAATCGCACGTCGGGGAACAAGCTGACGCAGCTCTGAATCCTTGGAGCAGTTATTGTTCTTGCACAGTCGCGTCGGCGGGTAGAGGTTTATATATGCTAACGATTTGGTTTTAGACTGGCAGTCCGAGTTGTAACCCTAATGACGTACCTAGACCAATTTTCCATCCGCGACTGTGCTCAATAGTAAACACCATGCCGTGGAGGCGCTCGCGGGCGCATAACATATGCCATATTTGATACTTGAGAACGTCCCAGAGAGCGTGGATGACTGGCCGACGAATGCGAAGGGTGTCTGAAAGCCAGCGAGCATGAACCAGGGGGAGAATGGGAGGTGGGGCGCTAGTGTTGCGCTTAGCCTGTTGCACGGCCGCAGCGTCGTCGCGCCATTCGCAGCAGCGGTCAACAAAGGCCTGAACGTTGTCGTAAGTGAGGCGAGATTGAGCCAGTATAGTGTTGGTGGTGAAGGCGTGGGCGACAGCGGTGATCTCAATAGACATGTTGATAAGGAGGAATAATGCAGTAGACGCGGAGAGATATACAGATTAATTATCTAAGAGGCGTGGTCTACTTGTGGTCTACGGGTGTTTGACGCGCGACGCGCAGCCGTCACGAGTAGTTGACATTCCATATCGTAGTGGTTTGGTGCCGACACCGTGCCGACACGCGATCGGCAGTCGCCGTCACCGCCACCAAAACTCCTCAGATCACCTGCAATCTGGTTTTAGATACACCCTCAGCCCTATGTTCACGTGGCTGTGCCACTAATTTTCCCACTGCGAGGATAGCTGACGAGGCGCTGACGTCTGGTCAAGACTCAACGCACGCTTGCTCAACGCTCAACGTCAACGTCAACACAATTTAAAGCAGCGGCTGACCTTAATAAACAGGCTGAAGGTATGTCTTACTTCATAGAACTTTGATATCTACTCCATTATGGCAGATAGCAGAATACAAACACTTGGAATACATTGCGTATCAGAGGGCAACGCTGATTCAGATATCGCGCACCACAAACTAGTAGCAAATGAATACTAATTTACCACTCGAAATCCTCGCCGTCGTCTTCGAGGAGTACTCAGTGCTCGTACACGAAGACGGAAGACCCTGGCAGCTACACATCTGCGACAAAGTCTGCCTGCAGAACTGGATCTGCGTCACCCACGTCTGTCGGCAGTGGCGCGCGGCTGCTCTCGGATGCTCAGTGCTCTGGTGTCGTCCCCCGCTTGTATCTCATCAGTGGACGAAGGAGTTTCTCTCGCGTTCCACAAACTCCCCTCTCATCATGTCAGCACACCTGATCACTGATCACTTGTTCATGCAGCCTGTCACAGAGACCCTCTATCGCTCGCTCGTGCAGCCTGTCACAGAAAACCTCTATCGCACCCGAGAGCTGGTCGTCGAGACGACGGCCGGTCCGCTGGGAGAAATACTCGTTGATTTACATCGTCAATCTCTATGCCAAAAGTCGCTGCCCCTCGAGGCGCTCAGCCTCATCCGTGTCGAAGCAGGTGGCTGGGGCCAAGACCATCTCTCACCGGATATCCGGCTCTGCAGCGTCCGTGGCCTTACACGCCTGCATCTAAGCAACACAACCCACGGACTTCCTCCAGATTTCCTAGATGAAATGCAGAGCCTGCAGGAGCTGTCGCTCGTTCACACCATCTGGTGCTTACAAGAAGGCCAGAGAAACGCCCGCATCCGTCTCCCGCGGCTGCGCCGCCTACACCTCACGGAAAATCTTACTGCCTGCCGGGATTATGTGGCGACTCTAGAGCTCTCAGGTCCTCTGGACTACATTGGCATAGAGGATGACTACTCTCATCTTTCCCCACATGAGCTTGTGTCTTTCGCCAAAAACATCTTTAGCACTCGTCATGTGATTGGTCAAGGTGGCGGGGTAGAACTTCCAACGACGCTTGATGGATACGTTGCAGCTCTCAGCATAACGCTCAGTCGTTCATACATTCATCAGGTCCAGTTCCATTTCGAAGCATGTCAGTCGGATGCCATGGACGATTTACTATTCCGCGCACTTTTCGAGAGAGCCATTTCGCGAACACACAAAGCGTCAACTGAATCTGTCAATTTGACTGCACTGTCAGAACCTTACGCGGGTTTATATACCAGTGGCATCCTCGACTTGCGCATAAGCCAGTTCATGCCGTCTATGATCACCTTGTTCTCTCTCAATTCCATTGTCTGCTTATACATCGTCGACAAAGCACATGACACTGCAGCATCGGATTTCAAGGCCGTATTCAAGCTGATGCCGTGCCTGCGCACGCTAGCCGTGTCTCACATCCAACCCCACTCTCTCGCTCGACCATTAGCTCCGTACCAGGGACACAACGGCGCGTTTGAGATCCCCGTTCCCCAGCTTCGAGAGCTTACGATTGATTGTGTTGATTTCTCGGCCGAGAAGGACCATGCACAGAGCGGCTTATCTCTCGCGGAATGTCTTTCCGCCCGTTCGGCCCGTGGATCGCCACTCGATAAGCTGTTGCTTATCCCCTGTACTGAGACAGGAGATGGTAGATAAGACACACGAGAACTTAGAATAGTCTAGCTAGATGTCAATCTTGCCGTTATCTCTGGCTAAAAAGGTGATGCCGCCCAGCGTAAGTTTTCGAAGCTTTGGAACGGAAATGTTGAGTGACTCGTCCTGCTCTTGATATGGAGTCAAAGACTGGACGAGGTCAGGGAGGTGGATGGAACACCCAGAGAAAGATTGCAGGTTTGGCACGACCTCGAATGCGTCAGCGATGTCGTTTATCCCCGTCACACGACGCGATTGGTCTTTGATGAACGTAACTGTCCGTTTTCTTAACCGCGTCGACTGTCATCGGTTGCCTGGTAGTCCTGATAGACTATGCCTGATGGCATGCGTGTTCGGGTTTGGGGTGCTCACAGTACGCACCGAGGTCCATGATAATGGTGCTTATCATTTCGTGGCGCTGTGTCGTGTTTGATGGCGTCCGCAAACGTGAACCTGACTACGGATATGTTACTCGCTTGGATTACTAGGCCATGATGCGAGTTGGCGATATATATCACCAAAACTTGGCTCACTGTTTCTTAGAACATCCGTCTACATCGCTTACTTATCCTCAGCAAGGACTATAGATGTCGCTCTTAAGAAGATATCCGCGTTGCAGCTTCGGAAACTTCGGATAAATATGGATCCACATGATGCTAATTAGCGCTTGAACTTTGTTTTGCGTCCCCGCAATGTCGTCGCATGACACGGAACTCATGTGTACGCCCATATATAGGCTATTACCGCAGCCTTGGCGAGCGATATACCAACAGAATGCATATAACGAAGCTATCAGATGAGCTCAGTTCCCCAGGGGAGCGGCTTGATACATTCGCACTGCCCAAACTTTACCAGAACAAATGCAACCTTCATTTATTTGGGAGATCTACGTTATGTTCATCGGACACACGACGGATGACAACTAAGATAACTGTCACTTAATCGGATCGAGGATCTCGGGTAAGTATATGTTTCCGCAGTCTATCGCATATCCACATAGATACGAGGCTAGCTAGCGGCCAAAGCCCTTTCATGAAATAAGATCACTGCGATCCCATGTACATGGATATCCGAGGCACAAGGACATATTCTCTCATCCAAACGCTCATAGAAGCGGCGGTAGCGCCACACATACCGCGGCTGAATCATTTTCGCTGAAATGGGGAGCACCACCTTACACCATCACCGACCTTGGCAGTGGTGTCTTTGATCCTCTCCGCTTTAGTATTTTCAGCGAGCTATAAATTTATTAAAACTGTAAATTTTTTGCGTACCCTCAAGCTCGGTACGCTCACTACATATGATATTGTGCGCCTGCCGGACTTACGACAGTATCTTTACGCCACGCCGAGATCACCGAATGTTGATTACCGGGCTTCAAACGCCTACTTTTATTCATCGCAGCCGTTTTCGGGCCGTGTACCTTTTTTCGTTCTCGGAGCTTCTGCTCTTATATATCTTGTGTCAGTGTCATTGAAAATTGGCCAGTCTCGGGCGTCAGAGACCCGTATGCATGCTGCTTCTTTGCATCCCTCGTTCCTGCTTATGTTTATACAGCACGAGCTGGCCGCACTAAAGTCATCTACTCGTTCTGCTGCCCATGTATCCTTTGTTACACCTAACCACACAAGACGTCGGTTCATTCTACCTTCATCCGATTTCAACGCTCCTCCCTCTCGGCGGGTTACCAAATAGGTTTGTATCTTATGCCACGCGCTCGCTCTATGCGGGATACAGACTCTCCAAATTTTCATTTGCGGCCCTGTGGCGCTAAATGCGCGTTTTTGGACCATGCTTTGATGAGACCCTGAAGATCTAACGGCATGACACCACCAGATGTAGCAGAACGTGTGTCACCCTCAATGCATGTTGGATGCTCCCTTCTTATCTCTGAAAAGACCGTTGTAGAGCTCATCAGCACGCTCCTTCCACAGCGCAAACAACCGCCCTTGCTTCTTTGAACACACCTTCTTTTTAGTTTGTTCTCCAGATTTACAGACCACGTAGGAAATGGTGGGGTAAACGGCAAAGGGTATCCAAATGACAAGTAACACTATCACTGAGGCAACTATATACCTGTTTTACGTCCTCGATTTTCTACGATTTTGACGTTATTTTTACTGCATGCAAACTGCATGTCTCTCTTTTTAATAGCTCGCAGACCTGTATAGACGTGGAACTAGGTCCCGCGTCACCGCTTGGTCTATGGAACATGAGGGGTGCGGGCGACCGTAAAAGTACGGCGATTAAATTCCATCATGCTCACCGACTACAGCCTGAAGAGCTTCTTCTCTGCGTTCCGTCAATTCACGTTTTCTCGTACGTTGACACGTGTGTCGACATTGACGCCCACACATCTGTGGCAGGCGCTCGCTGACACGGCGCCTGTGATGTTGCTATGGTGTGATCTGATGTGGCGCTTGGCTGACGCACCGCTTTGCAATCCCGGAGGTTCGGATCGACTCGCCGAACGGCATAAGACCCGAGAAATAGCCCCTGTGTAGTCAATCGCTCACTCAGAGGACCCACACTTATCTTCTCCAAAGGCTCGTCCGACATCGGCATCCACCTTTGCCCACGACATCGCTGTCCTATCATCTTCAACCTCCAACGCTGCTGACCTTACGAGCTATCCCAGCCAACTATGCCTCTCGCACCACCGATCAACATTCCGAAATGGCTCGAGCAGAACATCCACCTGCTCAAGCCGCCCGTGGGCAACTACTGCCTCTACCGCGAGAAGGACTTTACCGTCATGGCTGTCGGTGGGCCGAACGAGAGGAACGACTACCATGTCAACGAGACTGAGGTGCGCTCTTGTTCTCGTCACATTGGTGACGCGATGCGACTTTAGGATTGCTTACCGCGTGGCTGGTTGTAGGAGTGGTTTTACCAGTACAAGGGCGACATGCTCCTACGCGTTGTGGACGGCGAGGAGTTCAAGGATATTCAGATAAAGGAAGGGGATATGTTTTTGCTTCCTGGTACGTCGTGTCTTCCGCATTGAAGTTCTCTAGCTGGAACAGCACGATGAACATGGCGCGTAGGTAACACGCCGCACAATCCCGTCCGGTTCGCAGACACGATCGGGATCGTCATCGAGCGCGTCCGCCACGAGAAAGCCATCGGTGCGCGCTTTTTCGTTCTATTTCCCGCCGCTATCCTGGTGGACTAACCCTGGTAAACGCATGCAGACACGTTGCAGTGGTACTGCCGCGAGCCGGGGCACGCACAGCCCAAGATCATTCACAAGGAGAGCTTCCACTGCACCGACCTTGGCACGCAGCTCAAGCCCGTCATCCAGCGCTGGCAGCAGAGCGAGGACCTCAGGGTGTGCAAGGGCGCGGACGGCTGTGGTGCGGTTGCACTGCCGAAGTGATCCTGCTTGGTGAGCGCCGCTGCGGAAGAGGGAATGAAAAATAAGAATTCGAGTGGGATGTAATGTTATTTTGTATTATCTAGGAGTGTAGTCGTCGTTTCTTTCTAGTTTTTCGGCTCTTGACGACGAGAAATTGATGCAAATCAAAGGATTTTGGCTGTGATTGCTCCGGCGCTCATTATCGCGGATGATGCGAGGACAGTCGCGTCTAGTTGCGTCTGAGTCGCTCTTTTTCCTCGACTGCATGTTTCCTGTGCATGGCCAGCCGCATTCGCTGTTTACCAGTACTCACCACACTCTTTCATCCACACAGCGACATGACACGTTTTCCAATTATGACCTCGCTTTCGACCTCTACCGCTGACTCGGGCTCAGCGCCGCCACCCCCAACATGGCACCTCCCCATCCCACACACCTACAACATGTACGAGATCCCCACCGCCTCGAACGCGTGCGCGTCGCCTCTTCATCAACATCTCTCGCCGACTCGGACTTAGTGGGCAAGCACCTGCTCAAGGGCCTGGCACTCACGACGGGCTGCGCGCTCGGCTTCGCCCCGCCGACGCGCGCCAAGTGTCTCGCGAGCTATACAAAGTCGTCGTGTGGGACTGACGGAGGGCGCCCGAGCGTGAAGTAAACATGCTGCGAGGTCTAGAGACGCCGCATCGACGCATCTCGCATCTGTGCCCAGCTCCGACGGGCACGCTTGCGCTCAATCTGCCTCGTCCTCGCTCACACCCTCGCTCACACCCTCGCCCGAGCAAGACTCAGACCCAGCCGCCTCGCCCAAGCAAACGAAACCAAAGAGCAGCAAGGACCGCTCGGAGACCGCCTCCAGCGGTGGGTGGTGGGGCGCGCCCTCGGGGCTGTCGCGGGCATCAACGCGCGCGCGCTGCAGCTCTTTGAGCGCGTGGTCGACGGCGCGACGTGGCGCAACTTGCACTGGCTGCCGCACCAGGTGCTCGCGTACGAGGTACGCATGCCGGAGGGGTACGGCATGCGGTGGTCACAGGATTGGAAGGGGGTCGAGCTGGGTGATCGTGGGTTGGGGATGGGGGCGATGGATGGGAGGAGAACGAGGGGCAGAACGAGGGCGCAGGGGAGGGAAACGCGGTGGGGGAGGAAGGAGGAGCGGAGGAGAGACAGGAGAGACGGTCAAGGTCATGGGTCTTTCGAGGGTTTCTCGAGCCGATGATGGAGAATGGGCACGAGCTGGGGTGGAGGCATTGATCGATCAGCGAGATCAGCAGTCAGCGCTTCAGCTCTGCAATAGGTACGTGTGTCCGACGCAAGTACTTGGTCTTCGTGATATGAGCTGACTACTTCAAGTCGCTGATCCGGCCTATATGGCGGATCGATCGCAGTGCTGGCGAGAGGATCTGTATCAGCCTGAGCTATTTCAGTCCCCCCAGGATTTCGTGGGCCGCCGGCAGAATGACGCAAGGGCAGTAAACTGGTCACCAGGTCAGTAGTCTCCCCAAGGCAGACCCTATATCATAAGATAACCGTTCTTGAACCTTGATATTGCATCTCTCCTAATCGTCTCAACTACGCTCGACGCTCGATACCCAAACATCATCGACCATGGCATCCGCAAGCGGCCCTCGTGTGTGGTTCAGTGAGAATGCTTATGCTTCCCTCGACTCCTTCTCGTGTCTAACATCATTCTAGTAACCGGATCCTCCTCCGGCTTCGGCCTCGAACTTACCCAGCTCCTCCTCGCGCAAGGCGACACCGTCATCGCCACGCTCCGCACGCCTTCCGCACTCGCCTCCCTCGCCGCATCCTACCCGCCCTCGCAGCTCCTCGTCCTCCAGCTGGACGTCACATCCGCCTCTGCTGTGCGCGCCGCGTTCGCCCGCGCTGTTGAGACCTTCGGGCATATTGACATCGTGTTCAACAACGCGGGGCAGATCTTTCTTGGCGAGGTCGAGGCCGTGGACGAGGAGAACGCGCGCAGGCTGATGGACGTGAACTTTTGGGGCGCGACGCACGTTACCCAGGAGGCGGTGCGGGTTTTCCGGGAAGTGAACAGGCCGCAGGGCGGGCGGCTGTTGCAGGTGTCGTCGAGGTTGGGCTTGGTGGGCGGGCCGGCGGGCGGGTTTTATGCTGCTTCGTGAGTTGCCTGGTATCGTTTTGAAACCCCCGAAAGCTGATCGATGTGTGATGTTCTACTTTTCGGGTGACAGTAAATTCGGTGAGCGAGCCATCATGAGTTACAGCTGGCCACATACTGAGACGGGGTGTACCCAGCGCTCGAGGGCCTCACCGAGTCGCTCTACAAAGAACTCAACCCCGCATGGAACATCAAAGTCTCCCTTATTGAGCCAGGTCCATTCCGCACTAAACTCGTGGGCACAGGTGGCAACGTACACGTCGTCCCCCCGCATCCTGCGTACGAAGACCCATCGCTGCCCTCTGCGCAATTCCGGGCGTTCGTTACGTCGGGCGCAGTGGACGGGGACGCCGTCAAGGCCGTCAAAGCGGTGGAGAGGTTTTCGAGGCTCGAGAATCCACCGTTCAGGCTGCCATTGCACAAGCGCGTTATTGCGAGTCTGAGGGAGAAGATTGGGGAGCTGAGTAGGACGGTGGAGGAGATGGAGGGGTGGTCGGAGGATTTATATTTCGAGGAGTAGGTGGCTGAAATGAATACTGTATAGGTATGACATGCTTTGGGTCGTGCGCTGTTGCGATTACTTTGTGTGGTGAGGTGAGGTGGGATCTCCGGGACACCGCGACGGGCGGAATACAATGAGGAAAGGCTGTAATTTTGCTGACGCCACAGGTTTTGGCTGATAGGCTCCACGTACGTTGTCAGATTCTTCTCAGATACTACTGGTTCTCAACACTTGAACGCGTGTGGCACCAATGCGACGTCTTGGCTGCACATCAACCGAGTGGACAGCATGCTGGCGAATGAAGCTATAACCACTTCACTACATTACATGAGATCTTCAAAAGTCCAGAAAGAGTAAAGCATAAATGAAAAATACAGTGCGTAGTACTCATTTATATTTATGACCTTGGCGTCTCAGTTCAACCTCCTCACTCTCAGCGGCACATCCACTCCCTTCTCGCCCACCACCCTCGGCCGGGGCAAAAGCGTGCGCTGGCTCTCGAACTGGGTGCTTGGCCCGTCGCGCAGCTCAAACGAAAAGTTCCTGATCAGAACAGACAACACCGCCTGTATCACACGCACAATTCGGATTAGCATGTTGCTACAGCAACACAACCAGGCAAGGCACAAAGACGCACCTTAAACTCAGCAACCGCAAACGCCTTGCCCAAACACATCCGCGACCCGTCCGCAAACGTCAACATGTTCCTATGCCCGGACACGTCCCTCGCCGCGCCCTTTGCGTACTTTCCCTCCCCATCATACCCATCGAGCCACCGCTCGGGTGCGAACTCGCGCGCCGTGGGCCCCCAGAACTTGACGGCCCGGTTCGTGTAGTGAATGGGCACGGTGACGAGCGTGCCCTTTGCGACTGCGATGTGCGAGACGAGCTTTCCGGAGGCGTCGGGGATAGGCTGCGAGAGCGGGATGAGGTCGTCTTCGCCGGCCTGGCGGTGGTGGGTCAGTCATTCGTTGGTCAACGGGACGGACGCAGGAGGGCGAGGCTTACCAGGCGAGTGGTTTCAGAGACGGGTGAGCGGAGGCGAAGCACTTCGAGCGTGACGGCGTCGAGGTACGGAAGTGAGTTGGTCAGCTGGTCGTACGTTGGGTCGGTGTTGGTGAACTGGGAGAGCTCGTTGCGGAGCTTGGTTTGGGTTTCTTGGTTCCGCGACAGCTCAATCAAGGCCCACTGTTATGACCCAAGGGGTTCGTAAGTGGCGCGATATGGATGTCGCGAGGAGTATACGTACGGTGAGAGCAACTAGAGTACGTTCATTAGCTTCCTCAAAATGGGGGCATTATGTGGAAGCCACTCACTCGATGTTGTCTCGTAACCAGCAAAGATGAGCAGCTTCATCTGTGTATCTCAGATGAGCCAAGATTTGGAGATCGTGAGTATTAACTTACCTGGTCCACAACCTCCTGCGATGACATATGCAGCTCCGCATCGTCCGCCTCAGACTTGACTACATCGCCTCCGTTCAGCAACGCATCTTCCCATCACAAGATATGACACGCCACCAACTCACCCAACAACTCAATAATCGACCTCTCACCCCCTTCCTTATTCCCCGCGGCCTTCTCCTCCCTCGAGCGCTGCAGCATCGGCGCGGCGCTGTCGCCCATCGTCTTATTCAGATTCAGCACCTTGGTGCGGCGCCTGCTGGGAAACTTGAGGATCCAGGGGAAGACGATGGCAAGCAACGCGCGGTAGTTCCTGCCGGGCGACTCGACGTTCATCTGGTCGAAAGTCTGCGCGACGGAGGAGTGTTTGCCCAGCAGGGTGCCGAAGTCGTGGGAGAAGCCGGCGATGCCGATTGTGTCGAGGCTGGTGTGCAGAGGGTAGGAATGAATGGGGGGAGGAATAGGGTGGAAAAGTACAACTTACGAGACGTGGTTCATCCTAGAACAACATTGGTCATGTTTTAACTTCTGGTGACGCAGGAAATACTACGCATATACCCACCAGTTCTGCACTTCGATGACCGCACTGTCATCTTCAGAGCTAGCATCGATGATGTTGTTCCAGGCATCCTTGACCTACAGCCGCCAATAATTATTTCAGTCTTTGTCTAACAAGCAATAGAGCAACACTGTCACCTTGTGTCCCGAGTCGATGAATACAGAAGTCAGCTTGCGAATCGCAGAGTTGCTGAATGCAGGTGTCAACGCCTTCCTCTGCCTGTCAAGTGCCACCGCATGTCAGTAGTCCGCAACTGGAAAATCACACCAATCTAACCTCTTATGCACATCTCCCTGTGCCCACAGCAGATTCCTCCCAGCCTATCACGCCAACACAATCTCAGCTCTGGACCACACACCCATCCACTCAGGAAGGGCAACAGACCACCCACTCACCAAATGCTCAATTGCTATCAAGCTCACCCTCGTCCTCACATACGTCGTCGTATCCCTCGCATAAAAGTGCGCGATCGCCCGCGGATCGCACAGCACGACCCTACTCGCGCCAAGTGTCGACGGAATCGTGTACGCGGCGCCATATTTACATTCCCACGCCTCGTATAGCATGCTCGCGTCCCCCGCGCGCATGAGCTCGTCGCCGACGCCGAAAAACCAGTCCGTGCGCGGCGGTCCGCGCAGCTTTGTGGCGGTGAGCCGGCGCCGTGCGGCCCGTGCGGCGCGGAGGAGGAGGTAGGCGGAGAGGAGAGCGAGGAAGGTGTCTGCCGGTTTTGCTTGGCGGATGCGGTGAAGGAGCGCGGGGATGGTCTGGGCATTAAGGGCGTTGAGGTAGGATGTGAGTGTAGATGTGAGTGTGTCGGCCATGGCAGACATGGTGAATGGTTGAGGTGAATGTGGGGTTGGTACAAGGTGCTGTACTTATGTATGACGTCCAGAGGGCGTTCAAGGTCCGTTTAAGTTAAGCTCCAGAGTCACTGCCTAGTTATGATGAATTCCCAGGACAAGCAAGCAGCGAGGTCAAGATGCGGGTCCTGCGTGGTCTGCGCAATATAGCCTAACATTGGCTATGTTCGTGGGATGTTGAGGGATTGAAAGTGGATTCAAGTGCAAGTCGTTGTTGTCAACGTCATTCTGTCAACGTCAGACACGCGGAGCTCAGCTTCCGTCGCTACTTCAGCTCGGATAGCCCCTGTCTCTGCAGCACCCGGTACAGCACTGCGGAAACGAAGCTGTAGGGCGGCAATACACAAGTATAATGAGAAGAAGTAGGTTAATCAGACAGAAAGATTCACAGCTCGAAAGGTTATAATTCTGCGAATGCTAAGGAAATACAGGCGATGTACGCAGGCTTTGTACAACTTTGAGAGAGGCACGGCCTCTGCCTACAATGAGAGAACCCTCGCCATCTTAAGCCAGGGCGAAGAATAAAAATAGGAAATGACTCGCTTGCACCACGCAAAGTAATTGCAATAGCGTACAACGATCCAAAGATCGTCACAGCCATACAGTATTTATCTCAACCACCTACTCCTCGAAATACAAATCCTCCGACCACGCCTCCATCTCCTCCACGGTCCGACTCAGCTCCCCAATTTTATCCCTCAGACTCGCAATCACGCGCTTATGCAGCGGCAGCCTGAACGGTGGATTCTCGAGCCTCGAGAACCGCTCCACCACCTTCACCGCCTTCACCGCGTCCCCATCCACCGCGCCCGACGTGATGAACGCTCTGAACTGCGCAGAGGGCAGAGACGGGTCTTCGTACGCCGGGTGCGGGGGGACGATATGTACGTTGCCGCCGCCGCCGGTGAGGTTTGTGCGGAATGGCCCAGGTTCAATGAGGGAGACTTTGATGTTCCACGCGGGGTTGAGCTCTTTGTAGAGCGACTCGGTGAGGCCTTCAAGCGCTGAGCATGGTCCGTCTAAGTATGTGGTCGACTGCAGTTCGGTGTGGATCACTCACCGAATTTACTATAATCGGACAAAAATAACATTGCGCATCGTTCAGAAATCAGCATCTTCAAGAACGACACCAGACTACTCACGAAGCTGAATAAAACCCGCTCGCCGGTCCGCCGACCAAGCCCAACCTCGACGACACCTGCAACAGCCGTCCACCCTGCGGCCTGTTCACCTCCCGGAAAACCCTCACCGCCTCCTGCGTAACATGCGTCGCACCCCAAAAGTTCACGTCCAACAGCCTCCGCGCGCTCTCCTCGTCCACGGCCTCGACCTCGCCGAGACAGTTCTGCCCCGCATTGTTGAACACTATATCGATGCGCCCAAACGCGTCGATAGCGCGTGCGAACGCAGCGCGCACGGCGGGGGCGGATGTGACGTCCAGCTGGAGAACGAGCAGCTGCGAGGGTGGATAGGACGCGGCGAGAGTGTCGAGGGCTGAGGGCTTTCGCAATGTGGCGATGACGATGTCGCCTTGCGCGAGGAGGAGCTGGGTGAGCTCGAAGCCGAAGCCGGAGGAGGAGCCAGTTACTGAACGATGTTCAGGGTGAGATGGGTTTCAGAGAGAGATGGGCGTGCTTACTGAACCATACGCGAGAGCTGGTGGGGGATGCCATGATCGACGATGCTTAGGTATCGAGCGTCGGGGGAGAGATAAGGGAAGCGTGGCGGACCGATCGTACCAATCTGAGTTATTTCAGTCCTCCCAGGATTTCGTGGGGCACCAGCGGAATGACGCAAGGTAGCGGACTGGTCACCGGGTCAGCGACAAGGCCAGCGCATCGTAGACCACTTGAGTTGGGCGCATGCACCTATTAGAGCTAAAATCAAGGATCAATGCCTCCACCCCAGCTCGTGCCCATTCTCCATCATCGGCTCGAGAAACCCTCGGAAGACCCACGACCTTGACTGTCTCTCCTGCGCCTCCTCTCCTCTTACATCCTCCTCCACCGTGTTCCCCCCTCCTGCGCCCTCCATCTTCCCCTCTCTCTCTTCCCCAGCAGCTCCTCTCAAAGCCATCCTATGATCCTCCAACTCAACCCCCTTCAAATCCTGCGACCACCGCATCCCATATCCCTCGGGCATGCGCACCTCGTACGCGAGCACCTGGTGCGGCAGCCAGTGCAGATTGCGCCAAGTCGCGCCGTCGAACACGCGCTCGAATAGCTGCAGCGCGCGCGCGTTGATGCCCGCGACGGGGCCCGAGGGTCTGCCCCACCATCCGCCGCTGTCGCTGGACGGGGCTTCTTTGGGTTTATTCTGTTTCTTGGGATTTGTGGGTTCAACAAGTGGCTCTTCTTCGTGCAATGAAGGTGTTGATGGTGATGGTGAGGAAGGGTTCGACTCGGGATGAGCATCCCCGCCCAGAAGTGGAGACTGAGCCAACGCGGACGACATCCCGGAAGCGCCCGCTTCAGCGGATTGGGCAGAGTCAGCGCCCTCAGCGCCAGACCCAGACCCAGACCTCGCCGCGTGCTTACTCCACGCTCGCGCACCCTCTGTTAGCCCGACACGGTTCGACTTCATGTAGCTCGCGAGACACTCGGCGCGCGTCGGCGGGTCGAAGCCGAGCGCGGAGCCCGTTGTGAGCGCGAGACCCTTGAGCAGGTGCTTGCCCACTAAGTCCGAGTCGGCGAGAGATGTCAATGAAGAGGCGACACGCGCGCGTTCGGTGGAGGCGGTGGGGATCTCGTACATGTTGTAGGTGTGTGGGATGGGGAGGTGCCATGTTGGGATTGGCGACGTTGAGTTCGAACCAGAGGTAGAGGTCGAAAGCGAGGTCATGATTGGGGATGGATGTGCTATGTCGTTGTGTGGATGAAAGAGTGTGGTGAGTACTGGTAAAGAGCGAATGCGACTCGCCATGCACAGGAAGCATGCAGTCGAGGAGAAAGAGCGCGTCGGACGCGACCCCCTGCGATGACTCTGAGCGCCGAACAACCACCGCCAAACTACTTCATGATTTTCATCAAACTTTCGTCGTCAAGAGCTGAGAAACGAGAAGGAAACGACTACACTCCTAGATATACAAAATAACATTACATCTCGTTCAAATCCTTGTGCTTAGCTTAAGCTTCACCCTCCTTCCCCTCGTTCGCAGCGGCGCCCACCAAGCAGAATCACTTCGGCGGCGCAACCGCACCACAGCCGTCCGCGCCCTTGCACACCCTGAGGTCCTCGCTCTGCTGCCAGCGCTGGATGACGGGCTTGAGCTGCGTACCGAGGTCGGTGCAGTGGAAGCTCTCCTTGTGGATGATCTTGAGCTGCGCGTGCGCAGGCTCGCGGCAGTACCACTGCAACGTGTCTGCACACATTTGCCAGCATTAGTCCACCAGGATAGCGGCGGAAAATAGAAAGGAAAAGCGCGCACCGATGGCTTTCTCGGGACGGACGCGCTCGATGACAATGCCGATCGTGTCTGCGAACCGGACGGGGCTGTGTGGAGTGTTGCCTGTGCGCCATTCATCGTGCTACTCCCGCTAGAGAGCTTCAAGACGGGAGATACGACATACCTGGAAGCAAAAACATGTCCCCTTCCCTGATCGGGATATCCTTGAACTCCTCGCCGTCCACAACGCGCAGGAGCATGTCACCCTTGTACTGGTAAAACCACTCCTACAGCCAGCCACGCGATAAGCAATCCAAAAGTCGCATCGCGTCACCAATGTGGCGAGAACGAGAGCGCACCTCAGTCTCGTTGACGTGGTAGTCATTCCTCTCGTTCGGCCCACCGACAGCCATGACGGTAAAGTCCTTCTCGCGGTAGAGGCAGTAGTTGCCCACGGGTGGCTTGAGCAGGTGGATGTTCTGCTCGAGCCATTTCGGGATGTTGATTGGCGGTGCGAGAGGCATATCAGAGTGTTCACGTCCAGTTGGCCTAAACGGCTGGTATGGTCAGCGCAGTTGGAAGTTGAAGAAGATGAGGCTTGGATGAGGCAGCAAACGGGCGGGAGTACAAGGGTGGTGTGAGCCCCTATGAGTAAGCGAAAGCGTTCTAAATAGGGGTTATTTCTAAGATCACGTCGTCCTTCGGGGGTCGATCCGAACCTCCGGGACTGCAAAGTCGTGTCAGCTAAGCGCCACATCACAAGCGCCAGCGACGCCTCCTTCATCAGGTGCGCTAGTGTCAACCCCGACTCCACCGTGAGATTTAGACATTTTTTCAACGTGTCAGCGTACAAGAAAATACGAACTGACAGGATGCATAGAAGAAGCTCCCAATCCGTAGTCGGTGAACATAACAAAACTCAATCAACGTACTTTTACGAGCGCTTGCAGGACCCCCGAATATCTCAGTGAAGGATTGTTCCAAAGTCCGGACTGCTCCTTCCTATTTGGGACAGGTGGCCTGGTTCAAAGTCCGGACTGACTTGCCTAATGGGGCAAACGGCTTGGTCCGGCTAACCCCGTATCCGGATCCGCTGCTGACGTCTGAGCAACCCAGTAGATAGGGGCTTACCCCAGGTCCGGATCCGGATCGGGCATAGGATGTCATGCCTGGTCCCACGTCCGGACTGTAGTCAACCTCGATGCCCTGGTGCGTGGTCCGTACTCACGAAGGCCTGTCGCCCTGTCCGGACTCGAGCCGCCTATTCTTGTGGGAAAAATAGTCTCAAGCCATAGTGTTATAACGAGTGGCATATCAAGCTCGTCATGGTTACTGAGTAACACGTTCGCGGTGGACTTCGAATTGGAGCACTTTTCTTTACAAAGAACCAGGCGTGCATTGTTGGCGGGGGGAAGGTTCGAACCGGCGATGGCACAAAACAAGATGGCCGCTCTAACCGTTAAGCTACGGTTCCGCGCTTTGAGCGCCCACAAGGCAGCTATATCATCAAATACACCCCAACGGGGACTAAAGTTATGTTACCCCAGCTATTGCAGACGCTTACTCTGGCTTAGGCTTATATTAGTTGACAAGTAAGGCACCTCGTTGCTTTACCTTGTGGCAACACTTACTTTTTTCTCCTTTCTATCATAATGATGCAAGGTTCAAACATAAATCTGCCACTAGAGTATTGCCGACTGCTCTGACAATTGGACTTACAGATAGGTGGTGTCCGGATCAGCGTTAACAACTCTGACGATGCCTGTTCCTATGTCCGGATCGTAATAACCCCTATCTCGTGAGGCCTGTCGCTCTGTCCGGATTTTTTAAGCCCCTACTCCCGGAGGCCTGTCACTCTGTCCGGATTGGCGACCCTGAATAGGGGCAAATGTCCGGATCGGCCAGCCGTAAATCGGAACAGGCCTCCACCGGGATTTTCGGGGGTCCTGCGCTTGCGCTCTTCATGTTTCATCTTAATTTCATAGACTGAGCGGTGGGACGGTTCCACGTCTATGTAGGTCTGCGAGCTGTCAACAAAAACAGAGACACGCAGCTTGTATGCAGCAGAAATAATAAAACAAAATGAGGGCATAAAACAGGTAGTAGATAGCAGCCTAAGTGACTGTGCCACTTGTTATTGGATACGTTAACGCTATGGCCTTTGCCCTAGCATCACCTACATGGATTGTATAACTTGGGAAAAAACCGAGTAGAGCGGATATTCAAAGAGGTGAGGGCAACTAATTGCACTGTGGAGGACGCCGTGGAGCCAAGCAGGGAGCATGGGGGAAACACGTTGCGCCATATCTAGTGGCGTCATGCAGTAAGATCTCCGGCCGGGTGTCTCATCAAAGCATGGTCCGAATAGCGCGCTTGTAGCGCCACAGGGTCGCAAATGAAAGGTCTGAGAGACTGTATCCCGCGAAGCGCGAGCGCATGGCATACTAATATGGTATAAGGATACGAACATATCTGGTAACCCGCCGAGAGGCAGGGGCGCTGCAATCGGATGAGGGTAGAACGGGATGGTGTCTTGCTGGGTAATGTGTAGCAAAGGATACAGTGAAAGCAAGACATGTAGCTGACTGTAGTCACGGTACGGCGAGTCCGTGTTGTATAAACATAAGTAAAAACGAGGGATGCAGCGAAGAAGCATTTATCGGGAATAACGGATCTCTGACGGGCGAGGCTGGTTAAGTTTGGGCGGCACTGACGCAAGAAGTATAAGATCAGAAGCTCCGAGGAAGCTAAATGTGTGTGGGGGCCTAAAACGGCTGCGATGAACAAATGTGGGCGTTCGAAGCCCGGTGATCGACGTTCGGTGATCTCGGTATGGCGTAACGGCGCTATGCTGCGAATATGTCGTAAACCCGGCGGGGGCGCACAATTTCATATGTCCTGAGCGTACCGAGCTTGAGGATACACAAAAACTTTATAGCTCTGACGCACTCGTAGCCCGCCGAAGGAACTTGTACTTGCACTTATTATCAGTCCAGACAACACACCTCGTCGCTGTGTAGAGGCTAAAAACCGCAAAGGGTAACACTTCACTGGTCAGTATTGTGGCAAGAAATGGGATTTCAAAGTGTCAGTTTGAGCTGATTTCTCAAACAGCGGCAACACTAAAAACATCACGCCCAAGACCGGCAATGATGTATGGTGAGGCTCCTTCATTTCAGCGAAAACGATTCACCCGCTGAATGTATGGCGTTACCGCCGTTTCAATGAGCATTTGGATGGGAGAATATGTCATTGTGCCTGGGATTTCTATATATATGGGGCCGTGTTCTGATTTCATGGTGGGGCTTGGCCGATAGCTAGCCTCGTATCCACGTGGATATGTGACAGAACTGCGGAAACATATGCCTAACATATGCCTAACCCGAGATCCTCGGTCCGATTAAGGGGCAGCTATCTTCGTTGTCATCCGTAGTGTGTCCGATGAATGCGACGTAGATCTCTCCAAAAATGAAGGTTTCATTTGTCCCGGTAGAGTTTAGGCAGTGTGAATGTATCACGCCGCTCCCTTGAGGAAATGAGATCATTCGATAGCTTCGTTATACGAAATCTGCTGGAAGAGCGCTAGCCAAGGCCGTGGTGCTAGCCTATGATCGGTACGAGTTCCGTATCATACGACGACGTTGCGGGGACGCAAAACAAGGTTCAAGCGCTGATTGACATCGTGTGGATGTATTTTTGTCCGAAGTCTCCGAACTTGCAACGCGGTTATCTTCCTCCGAGCGACATCTTCAATCCTTGCTGAGGATAAATGAACGATGAAGACGGATTTTCTGGCGAAGGTACCGGAGCCAAGAAACAATGAGCAATGTTCTGCTGATATATGCCAGCGTGTGAATTCAAGTTGGCTCGACATAACTTGCATCATTCCGTACTATTCCATGCAAGAAATTCCGCAGTCAGGTTCTTATTTGCAAACGTCACAAAATACAGCATTTCAGCACTACGAAATGATACGCACCTTTATCGTGACCTCGATGCGTACTGTAAGCACCCAAAACCCGAACACGCATGCCGTCAGCCATAGTCTATCAGAACTACCAGGGAACCAATGGCTGTCAACATGGGTAATCCAAACGGATGGTTACGTTATGTACCCACAGGAACTTGGATACAAACTTTTGACATCACCAGGATAAATCAGGGTCAGTGTAATGGATCGCAGAATGCGAGTTGTAACTCACTGACTCCGCGTAGTGAAGGACTTCTCAAAAATATACGGTCGTATAAAATTCCAGTGTCCGTGTAGAATGTTGTGACAACCAGCAACAATGACACCCAGCGCAGCAAAGCGCTTTCATTGTCGCTACTTGGGATGCACGTTCAGCTCTGACCAGCGTTCTGCCACCGAAACTCACGAATCGGCAATTCAGTACGTTTAGTGTCACGACATGTGTGTCACCTCGTTTCAACTGACGCGCTCTTACATTTCAGCTTACGAGAGAAGCCAAGAAAGTGCCCCGACTGCGAGCACCGCACGGCGGACCCGTCTGCACTTACCAAGCACAGAAAGCGCCATCACGGCTATAAGCCTCTGCGTCGAGGCCCGGTTCCTCGTGGCTGCTCCCAGTCGAGTCAAAATGATGCTATGTTTGTTTCTGCAGAGGATTGTGACGTCCATAACAACAGATACGAGCCAGGAAAATCTGCTTTGTTCTGCATGGATTGTTTTGAGTGGATATTTGTTGGTGAGTCATTATTTTCTCCTGCTAGAAATGATGTATCGGACATGCGTATTGACCACGTAGTATTCAAGAACTTGATCACCTTTCTGAAAACCGAACCTAATACAATGAGATCGCAGTTGGGAGTCCAGGTAATACCGTAAAAGTACACGTGCGTCATCACGTGCGGAAAGTTACCTACGGTGACCTACTGCTAAACAATGCCAAAAAGTAATATTATATCCTGAATGGTGGCGCGTTATGTAGATGTCTTCATATTGCAGTTTTAGAACAAGATCGAGTAGGTAATGCGTAGTTTACGTTCTATTCCACCATTCATATGTCAAGAGGGCAAGACGTCCTGTATGACCTTAGCGGCATATACATTTAGCGCGATATGAAGGGAACGTAGACACAAAATGGTGGTGGCACGGTACCACGGGAAGTCAACAGCGACCTTCATGAGAATTGTTGTACTGGAATTGCTCGTCAAATTCGGAGACTGCCTTGGCTCTATGAGAGTTTATGGCCTCACCTGCAGCGCAGCTGGGGCTCGTTTGGTCGCTCCCTCACAGCACTATCAAATGTAATGCTACTTCTTCGTCAATAATATTCGCTAGAATTTTTATCTTAAAACAGCTTGGTTTAGTTGAGTGCTCGATGTCACGGTTGGTGCTCTCGTATTGAAAAATGCCTTATCAAATGTCATGTTAATCCAGCAACATCCGATAATTTACAGGGATGAAAGCTTGAAAACCTTCCGGACGGGCATTAAGTATCCCTAGTTTTGAGAGACAGTGTACGCCTTCGAAAAACGTTGGGTATGTGAATACGCCTCCAGTTGTGACAGTTTAAGTAGATGATAACGCACGAAGAACCTGTTCATAGCTTGTTGTGTTACCCAATTTGAGGGCCTGCTCTGGGCAAGAGCACTTTCAATATTCCATATTCTTTCAGTATGCTACACCTGGGCCTGAGAGGTCATGCCATGTGGCGGCTAGCCGAGTAACGCCGAGATAGACTTACCCACTCAAAAGGAAATGCTTCTGTGGGACAACTGTGGGATGCCACTATCCAAAATTCTGCCCTTCGTGGAATAGAAACACCTTCCCCTACATGCATATCCAAAACCAGTGCTTATCCTCCAAGTTCCTTGGCTTGGCACGGATATTCTCGCTTTTCGGGATATACGGAGTCGAAGATTCCCGAAAGACCGACATGCATTCACCGACTCGGAGTACACCGAAGATGCCTCCTCACTGCAAGTCAGCCATAAAATGAATGTTACTCTGCACACATGTGCGTCTTGGTGAGATTTATCTGAATCCTATAGTACAATTAACCTTTTGCCTTACTTAACGACTGCACATGACCAGTTGCAACATGCTACCCACGCAGACATTCAGCTAACAGCAGTGCGTACGGATGATACACCTGAGATAGTGGGCTCGATATAGATACATGGTGGGGTCGCCATCTTCTTTGTCATGTGCATTATGGCGGGTAAAGTTTGGGGAAGCAAAACATAGATCTCGGGCCTGAGGGCCGCCGGGTACCAACGATCTATATTCAGTCGGAGGTTTTGGCAGTGCGAAATGCTGTCCTGCCAGAACTGAGCTCGGCTAATCAACGGTTGTGGCCCATACGCCTGTCACGATATTTCTAGCCAACGCCCTTGCTGTAGCACGAGCACGATTATGTGTATGTCTGAGCTCCCGTGCCCTGGCCACAAGCGTGGGAACAAAAAAGCCAACCTACATGTGACACTGTCGCGTCAGCCCTAAGTAGAATATTAGCCCCTGTTACTAGTGACGCTAAGGCTCCCTGTTATCTCTCCCTATATACCTCATCCTCAGTCATCTATCCCTCCGCGTTCGGGCTACAAACCTCGATTCCACCTAATATAATGCCCGAATCCGTCTCACTCGCCGCCGCTTACACAACAATATCGCGATACCCCCCGCTCTCAACATTAACGATGGAGCAGATGACTATCTTCATCAGTTGCTGCTGCGAAATGCGCAACGACGTGGCCACCCTTCAGCACGCCTCAAAGAATACATCTGTTGCTCCTACGTTCATCCCATATTTATATCTACAGGTGGCTAGCAACGCTACTGGCCTTGACGATGGCCAGATCCATGTCCTATGGAGCGCACTAAAGGACCACATTTGGTCTGCTCCGACTGCAAAGGAGATCTATCTGTCTTTGCCTCAGGTGTTCGAGCAGCATGGCGCACATCGTGGTATTTGTAAGTAGCTACTCTCTGTTCTGAAATCACCCTGACATCTTCTAGCTTTGTACTCCCTCCACCCTCCTACTCGACACTGTAAAAATGACGCCTGCGACAAGTCATCGGAGTTGAGGCAAGAGAACGTTCTGGACGCCATTGTCTTTACTATAAGCCATGGCGTTCAGCTGGGCAAGTCAACAGACCTCACATGCGATAGTGCGTGCGTGGTTTTGCCCTATTTCAAGTTCTGCTAACATCAATTCCTCCAGGATGTGGTTACCAATACCATTATAATTACTACGTTCACGACAATTGCCTCACGTGCACATACTACGACGACTACGACGTACACGAATACCTCCAAGTAGGTACACATCAATTCATTGAAAGGGTGCTAGCAGAGTTATGGACAAACTCGATGATGGTTTCCGCGTGCGTGGATTGTTGTCTAGCTCTATCTTCGATTCTAAGGCGCTCCTCTAGCACGTCTGCCACAAGCTTGGCCAAAACATATGAGCTCACCTTCGCACGGAATGGTCACGCCTTCAGTGACCGGTATTTTACCTCCTCTCTGCTAGAAGAAGGCGACGCAGAGCCCGACAAGTTCAGCACATACCTGAACCAAGAACAGGTGTGGGCTGCCTGGACGATCCTCGCGCTCCTCCGAGATCAAATGGTGATCAAACTCCCTCTATCAATTCCCCACAAAGGCGATAACCGCACACGTTTCAACGATGCTATGCAAGAGCGTAACGAGCGCATAGTACTCTGTGGGCAGGCCGAATTATTACATCATTGCAGTGGCTGCATGCGCGTATTTGAGGAGCATACATCGGAGGGCATCAAACGCTGTGAGTCTTATTTCTTCTAATTGTTCTTGTGCTCATCTGTGATTTAGGGAAGTGCCAAGTTGCTGTCAGCGACGGGGTGACCATCGGTCACTTCGTCTGCAAGTATCATCGATGCACCTATCCGCTTGAAACCAAGCTCGACCACTACTGCGAACTGCATTCCTACCTCGCAAACATTTGCGCCGTCGAGGGCTGCTCGAACTCCATTGTGCCTACATACCGAACGAAAAGCACATGCAATGACCAACAACACCGGGAGATGGAGATTCAAAGTCGCGATCGAGGCAGGTCCATGTTTGAACTCAAGAATCGACTTGCACGTGTCAAGACTGCACATCGAGAAGAATCAAACGATGACGACGACGACGAGAGCCTCTATACGGAGGCTCTTGAATATTTCGAAGTCGACGAAGCTGGGAACATCACTCAGCACGTTGATCACAGCCCTGTCAATGTCGGCGTCCCTGACACCACCAACGAGGATCAAGAAACCTGTCCGTCCAAGCGTCCCAAACGCTTCAAACTCCTGCTCGCACGCCGCCGCTCCTGTTGCGAAGTCACAATTGTTCGTCCCTGCGGCATAATCCTTGCTCGAGGCACCTTTAATCGCGCTGAGGCTGTCTCGAACGTATTGGTGTGCCGTTTTTTTTTAAAAAGTCGATTCCTCTGACTAATGTCGCATTTAGAAAATGGTTAAAGACATATTCAGCATACCCGGTGCTCAAAAACCTGAGCACTGGATATACGACACCGCCTGCAAGGCCAAAAAGCAGGCGATGCAAGACCCTTGGTGGGACACCGTTGGTATGTCCGTCGACATATTCCATTTTCGCAACAAGCACAAGACGACAGACGAGTTCTGCCAGCGGTACTGCAACCCTGCTGACTTTCCGGAGCTGCAGTCGGAGGATGGAAGCGGGTGGTGGTTTAATTCCAGTGTTGCAGAACAGGTAAACGTATGGCTTGGCTCATTTCATGCAATCGTCCGGGAGATGAGGCCAATAAGGTACAATTTCTTTCTAGACGAGATGGTTCGTCTTCGTAACATAGATGTCCTTGCCTCTCTCGAGAGGAAAGGCCTCTGTCCCACTTATTCTCCTTGTCCCTCTGACACAAACTAGCTTTTACTCTCTTTGTATGTATTTTAGACAATTCGATTCGTTTTTGTATCCAAGTCAACGTACATGGATTGAGCGATAAAAACATAACAAGTAATGGTGTGTGATACAGAACGAAGTTAAAACATAGCTATGTATACTAATGTGCCTCAAACACTACAAACCCTCCGTCAAGTCGTAAACCGCCGCCGGGTCCAAGTCATGTTCGAAAACCTCTGAGACGCGAGCGATTACCTCTGAGTTGGGCTCGATCTTGATGCGCGGTATAGATGGGATCGGCGGCGTCACCGGGATGTTCGTAAAGTCCATGTCGACCGTCTCGGTGGTGATCTTCTTTTTCTTCTTCGGTTTTTTCGGGAGAGCCCTCCAATATCCCATGGGCGTGTGGTTGGCCTTGTAGAACGAACACCTTTGCGAGGGTTCAAGCTTGCCCCACTTGTCGACTGTCTCGTAGACGGTCGACCGGACATATCGCGTGCCGAAGACATGCTTGAACACCTCCAAGAGGCCCTTGCTGCGCAGGGATGGACTCCGTAGCCAGTAGAGACCATTGAGCACGTCGACAACATGCCAATGTGTCGGCCACTGGATATGATTGGGTTCCTGGTCGAACACCTTCGCCGGAAGCATAGGTGATGGGCCAAGAGGTGAAGGAGGGAGGGGCACAACAGTCACGGACGGCGGCATCTTTGGGAGTGGAAGGCCAACAATGCGGTTGACGAGTTCTGGCTGCGGCTGAAGGAGGGAAGGGCCTGGGTGTGAGGGAGATGGATTGAGACGCGAAGGAGATGGGGACGAGGATGAGGACGAGGACGAGGAGACGTGTGAAGAGGGGGAAACCTTGCGACGAATTGAACGAGCCGAGGGGGAGGGCACGGCGTCCATGGGATTGTAAGGAGAGTCCTCAGAGGACTGTGGAGACGCCAAGAGGTCAGGCGTGGGCGGGCGTGGGCGCTTGCGCATGAGGCTGATGTCTGTCTTGGACATGGCATTGACAGGCGTCTTCATCTTGCCAAGGCGGCTGGTGAACGTGTCGAGCCCGAAGCATTCTTGAACCTCTCGCAACTTGAAGAGCAGGGTGTCATTCTCTCGTACCGTGTGGATGACGCTGATGTCACAGCTTGCCCAGACTTGGAATTCGCCAGAATCCCACTTGTCGACGAGCGTGTCCTCATGCAGATAGTGGAGCTCGGATGGACGGGCCTGGGCGCATGCAAGGAGCGAGAAATAAGGCCAGGTCGGCAGGTTTGCCTGACCTTGGAGGTAGAGGAGCTTTGGGTCGACTTTATCCTAATCAAAGTTAGCGAGCGAACCGTTGGAAAAAATAAGAAAACTCACATCGTAGTATATGAATACCTTGAGAACCTTCTTGACATCCCTCTGGCAAGCCTTGCGAATATGCTCGCCACTGATGTTGCGAACCATCCGAGACTGGTCAATCTCGAACTTGCCATTCCAGGTATCATTTAACTGCACAGTGTAGCGGGTAGACCCAAAGGGAGGAGCCTCGGTGGTCTCGGGTCGCCCGCTGGAAGGGAGAGTCAAGGTGCGTGTGGCCTGGAGAGCTGGTGGTGCCGTCGAGGGCGGCATATCGTCAGCTCGCCGCTTACCCAAGCTCTTTGCTGAAGGGGCAGAGGGGCGAAGGGTGGGGTCAACGTGCGAGAGTGCATCGTCAATGGCACGGGCCAATGCCGCCTGAGAGCTCGACTCATCTGTCTGAGACGCTGACGGCCCAGCCTGCGATTGAGACGACATGGGGCGAAGGTCTACATGCGTCGGCACAGAGTGGCAGCCGCCCTCGAAGCCGCAGTGCGTCGCGCACATCTTGCGATCGCACTCGTACGCTGAGCTAGGTGCACGTCCTGTGCACCCGCTCACAGAGCATTTGAGGGCTGGGGTGATCTTGAACTTGGCGGCAGCGTTCTTCTTCTTGCGAGGAGATGGCTTGCGCTTAGCCTGAGCGGTCAAGGGTATGGCAGCCTGAGAGAGCGAAGATACGGCCACCAAAGAAGGACTAGGGTCGAGGGAGAGGGGGAAGGGAGCGAGGGAGGAAGGAGGCGCCGTTGGTGCTGAGCTGGGTGAGCTGGGCACACTAGAGGGTGGGGAGGGTAGTGGGGATGGGAGGGGAGAGTCAGAGATGTTTTGAGCCGCCTTCTCCATGACCTCGAGGGGGACGGCAAGCGATGGATACACGTAGTGCTGCTTGTGCGTGCCCCTATGAGGTTTGTGACACTAATGGTACATAGAGTTCTCCTTGTCAGTGATCGGATGAGGGAAAGAGAAAGCACAGACTTGCCTTGACATAGACACGGGCAATGTTCTTGCCTCTTCGACAGAGCCGAGGGCAGAGCGGTGTCTGGCAATCACAGTAGAGACAGAGGACGTCTCCAGTTCCTAAGATGTGAGGCTCTGGAGGCGGCATGACAGGGCGAGGGTTGGGTGTCGCGTTAAAGAGTGTCGACAGAGACCGCACAGCAGCCGGTTAGCAAGCGATAGTGGGGGGGAAAGATGAAAAAATCGGGGACGAGAAGCTGTCCCTGCTCGAGCTGGATTATTATAAGATTACATCGAGGCGAATACCATGGGGGACGATTATGGATTCGACGTGACGCGGCAAGATCATCTGCATTGATTTTGCGGATCTCGACTGCCGGATAGATGGAATGCGGGGCTAGACCGCTGGACCGGCGGACGGACCGCTGGACTGCTGGAATGCTGGACCGCTGGAAAATGTGGATTCCCCGTCATCCTCGAGTAGCCAATGGCAATGGACATGGATGTTACGAATGGATAGCTACCTTGTGGACCTTCTGGAAGAGAACTTTTCGATGGTTTCATGAGGTATCAAACTCAGCGCAATGGATCACAGGGTCACTGGATGCACAGTCAAGTTTTTTAGGGCAGAAAACTGTGGGAAAACAGGAAAAAAACCCAAATTGTTTTCACAGTTTTTCAGGATGTAATACTGGATAAAAATCTGTGATTTTCTCACCATATGTGGTGGATAAAAATCGGTTGAAAACTTTGAAAAAACTGGATAGCATCTAGCTAAAATGTGCGTGCTTTTATTCTGGTTTTTATATAGTAAATGCTTGAAGTTTTCACAATAAAAAACAAATATTAATGACAACAAAAACAGGGAGGTACAAACTAATTTTTGTTTAGTTTTCTTGGTACACTATTTGAGAGATAACTAAATATGAATACATCAAAGCTATCCAATTATTGAGGAGAAAAAATCAAAAGAAAATAAGGGAAAAAATACAAGAACACTTCACCAG